GTTGTGGCTGTCATTATTGCGGTGCCCAGACTTTGCCTGCCCTTTGCCTCTGGGGAAGAGCTCAGTGAAGGGGGGTGGTAAATCAAGGCTGGGATGCCTCAAAGCCTCTTCTCCCACCCTGGCTGCAGAGCGTTGGTGAAAACCAGTCCCTTCCCCCAGCCCTGCAGTGCCTGCCAGGCTCTCCTGCCTAGCATGGAACATCTCAGGGGGCAGAAATGGTCCTGTCCCACACAAGAGGGGCCAGACTCCATCCCTACCCCTACCAAACACAGGGTGCTACCTGCAGCACAGGATGTGTACAGCCCCACTCCTGGTCATCAAAGCAGTTGAGGGGCTTGCTCGGAGCCCTTTCCCCTTTCTCCTTAGTTCTCCAGCCCAGCATGTGAGTGTGCTTTCAGTTCTGGGGGGGTCCCAGTTCTGGTTTTGTGTTCTGTTGGGCTGGCTCTAGTTGATACATAGGGCTGTGCTCCCCAAGTGAGCACCATGATCTGTGTTTTCTCTCTGGGACATCTGGTATCACTCCTGTCTGTGCTCCTCAGCCCAAGTTCTATTCTAGAAGACAATTCACTCACAAGTCCTTTTCTGTTCAGCTTTAGTTAGCAGCAGTAGCTCACAAAAGCCTTGAGTTCTTGTGTTGTTGGCTCGCGTGAAGCTGTGCCCTTTCTGTGTAGTGACAGAACTCCCTCAGAGGCCGGGTCTGGGCCGAGCACCCCTCCGGGCCCTGCTGCTGTCCTGGCTGTGAGCCCCAGGGTGCTCTGGGCATCTCCAAACGCATGTGACTCCTGCTCTCCCACCGTATCTGGCCCAAGGCTGTGTCCAGCATGGGCTCAGCTAGTGGCAGGTCCGGACCCTTGTGGGATCCTCATGGGTCCAACAGCCAGGGGCAGGCAATGCCTGGGCTCCCGCACACCCCTGCCGATTCAGGGTTGCTCACGCCCCTCGTCCTCATAGGCAATGGCAATCCCTCGTCGGCCCTGCACAGCCTTGGAGATGGGTGTCTGCCCCAGCTGCTGCTCCAGGCCCCGCCAGCTGCGGGACTCCAGGAAGGAGGCTGGGAAGAGAGAGAAAGAGAATTGTTACTGGGAGCAGGGAGGCAGCACTGCCCCTGCACCGGGGCTCAGCCCCGCCATGAAACTGAAGCACAAACCAGCAGGGCTGATCTCCGCGAGGGCCCGCGTCTGGTCCCTGCAGGCCAGGGCGGGGGCAGGGGGCAGCCGGGGGAGCCGGGGGGC